GGGGGGGGGGGGGGGGGGGGGGGGGGGGGGGGGGGGGGGGGGGGGCGGGGAGGGTTGCAAAGTAGTCCTGGTTGTAAGCTCTAAATTTCCTTCAGGATGGCTTTCCGAAGATCAGGTTTCGTTTGGGGAGGTTCTGCTGTCTTTTAGCCCCAAGCTTTGCATTTCCGGGCTATGAAGGGCCTAGGCCCTCAAACCCTAAGCCCCTGTAAACTCTAAACCCCTGCAACTCTAAGCCCGACACCCTCGCACCCTAAGACCTGTATTTTATATCTGTGCATTCCCTCCACTTTTGCTTCCATGTATGTTGCACTTACCTGTGACGCTCAAGCCCTCTGAGTAAAAAGGTTAGGCGCGCCCCTGCTCATGGCTTAACGGATAACAACTGGTGGATTTCCCAAACTATAGGTTATCAGCCGTAGGCTCCCCGGAGCTTGCGGCACCACTGACCTGGAGTTTCGACTCAGTGCATGGGTGACAGCCCCGAGCTGGTCCCCACCGAGGTAGCAACTGATCTCGGTACAGACGGATTTACAGACGCAGAATCCGCGGAGATGGACCTCTCAGGCACTTTGACTATGCCACCGTCTACGGATAGCCGTGCCCTAGTGCTGGAAGAGAATGCAGCGGCAGCTAATGTGTTTGCGCCAAACGCATCTTCTCCTTTCGTAGGACTAGGAGCTCCGCAGATCCACATGTACCGACAACAGTTTCAGCAGAACATCACGATAGGTGAAACACCTTCTCCTCACTGAGTTAGAGAACGAAGCAGAGTCCAGGCACCAGAGGTTCCGCCTAGCTGCTGAAGAAGCTCATGATCAACAAATCGCAGATGTTGAAGAAAGGGCTAACAGGCAGCACGAGGAAGTCGTTGCTAGACTTGAGTCTGAAATTGCTAGCCAAAGGTATAGCTTTGTCGCGAGGACCCAAGGTCTCTTTTCAGAACTCCAGCAACAAAACCAGATAATCAATTTTCAGTCAGAACATTTTTCCGATGTTGGTTCGCAAATCACACGTCTCAGGACAACTCTGGTTGAAGAGGCTGAACAAAACAAGAGGGAAAGCATTAACGAGATTGGGGAATGGTTTGGGAGAGAGCATGATGAGGCAATGAAAAGGTACCGCAGTATAGCCCTGGAAACTGAAGAGCAAATGAGGATTCAAAACATGACCCTCCAAGATGAGTTATCATCAATGGAGCGTGCGCTCCAGCTCGAACAAGACAGGAATTTAGGTATCAATCCCTCGCAGCAAGCTCAGTTTCCCAGCGCCACTGCCCCAGTTGCTCCAGCGCCAAGCGCCGGGCTTAGTGCTCCGTGTGCCCCTCAGTTTTCAGATCCGAGTGTGATTCCGATGAACATCAGGGCATTGTTTCCAAACTTCAGTTTTGGCGGTGTGGCAACTACTGCCACTCCAACAGGACCACAGGGTCCGGTTTCTGCCCCAGGGACCCCAACAGCATCAGCTAACGTCCCAAATCTAGGATTCTCTAGTGGTGGGTTGAACGCCGGAGCCCCTGGTCTTGCGGCCCCAACCGGCACGCCGGGAGGTCCGGCAGCCACAGGAGCCGATTTAATCGCACAGACGCAGCAAGCGCTGCTTGAAGCCGCCAAGCTTCTTAAAGGAGACAAAAGCGGTGAAGATGACAAACCAAAGGTTAAAGAAGCTGAAACCATCCGCCTGCCGGATTTCCCTAACCCCGAAACCTACCGTGCATGGAAAACCGCAACACGGGAAGCAGTTAGGGCAGCTTCGGATAGACCTGATGAAGCCTTCTCTTGGATTCTAGAGGTGTATTCTAAGGATGCTGATCATGAAAAGCTTCGTGAACCCGGTAAGTTTCTCACGCTGGATACCAAAATCCTAGCCGCTCTCACTAAGGTCGCCAAAGGTGAATTATCTCGACAGGTACTCACTTTCAAGGAAACCGAGGCGGTTCAAGGACGTGCCGTACGAGGGCGCCAGGTTTTGCTTATGTTTGATCAGTACTTCAAAACAAATGAAGAGGTAGGATCGCTCTACTCGGTAGAAGACCTTTTGAAGGTTACGCTGCATAGTGACGATCTAACCACATTTCTGCACAATTGGGAATCAGTCATTGCTGGCATGAGTCATGTCCCAGAAGAAATGGTTCTGCGTGACATCCTTCTTCGGCAAATCCGAAAGTCCTCAAGAATGAAGTATGATTTGGAAATCTACGACAGGGCGAAAGAGGGTTCTGCCTCACACTCCTATGCGTTCTTGTTGAAGTCAATCCGGGATTTGTTGACCCGTGAAAGGATGCGCAAGAACAGGGATAGAATCGCCAAGTCTCATGGGGACAAGTTTGGAGCTCCTGTTGTTGAAGGCGGAAGGCCGACACGCCCTCCGTCGAGGAGCGGCCGCGGAAGGGATCGCTCTGCCGGTAGCCAGTCCAATTCAAAATCAAGGTCTCGCTCTAGGACCCCATCCAGATCTAGATCACCTAGCCGATCGCAAAGCCCAAAGCCAGTTTGCTACGACTTTCAAAAGGGTAAGTGCACCAGGGGTGACAAGTGCAAGTTTTCGCACAAACCCCGTTCGCAATCCCCTGTTCGCACTGCCCCGAAGAAGAAACAGGTCTGCACGTTTTGGAAGAAGGGAAAGTGCACTAGGGGAGATAAGTGTCGTTTCTTGCATAGGGAACCGAGCCCTACTCCCTCAGGTGGTGAAAACGCAGCCCCGGCCCCTAAGGGCCCAGACAAACCAAGGTCCCCGTCACCCGCGCCAACGCGCAGGAAACCAAGCCGTGGACGCTCTAAGGAAAAGGATAGGAAGGCCGCATGCTGCATTTCGCTTGCGGCTGCAGCCTCAGCTGGTCCTGATGAGAGTGAACCACAAGATGGGGACGAAGACTACTGGGAAGTAGACTTCAAAAGGGGTGAAGCTGTTAGGCATCATCTGAAGTACAGAAGTACTATGTACAAGCCCGAAGTGTCATGTCCTGTTGCTCTTGAAAGGTTGAAGGGTAAGGCCAAAGTGATCAAGACGCTTCCCATTTCTCCGTACACTGCAAAGGAGAACTGGGACTGGAAAGAGGGAAGAGGGGGAACCGGCGATAGGACGCCGTGGACCGGCAAGACTGTTTTCAAGATCAAAGAACAAAACAAGAAGGTCAGGTTTTCCGACAAACCCAAAGTCAGGGAAATCCCCTTTGAGGGAAAGGGGTACAAACATTCCTACAAAGTTCGCAGGTACAATACTTGCTATGCTGATGCGGAAAACTGCCCTAAGCCTGACGCTAATGACCTTCAGGTTGCAATTAGGAACGCAAGGGAACTCAAGATGCTTCTTGCCCGGCATGAGGGGGGAGAGAAAACCGATTGCCACTTAGAGTGTGATGAGCCTGATTCTCTCATGTGTGGGATGTGCAAGCACGTTGTTGAGAGCTCAGAGATCGCTTGTCCAGGGATCGCCACGCCCTTAGAATTCCTTGCTGACACAGGAAGCGAGGAGGACCTTATCAGCGAAGCCGATCGTGCTATGTACTTCGGCGAAGAGCCAGTAGGCAACGCAATACGACAAGTGAACCTCATCACTGCTAATGGTAACGTCAAAGGTGACAAGTCGGTTAGGATCGACTTCCCGGAGTTTGGCAAAGAGCTAGAGTTCTATGTTCTCAACAGCACCCCTCCTGTTTGCTCCGTAGGCAGAAGGTGCATGGAGGACGGTTACGAGTTCCACTGGTACCCCAAAAGGCCGCCTTACTTTGTTGCGCCCAATGGTCAAAGACTAAGGTGTAGAATGAGAGGTATGGTCCCAGTGCTAGGGGGAGGAGCAATGGCCGCTCCAAGCGCTAAGGAGGAAGCCTCAGGTTCTCTCGGACGACCAGTGTTGTCCGAGGGTTTTCAGAAAACTGCCGCCCAATAGGGCCGGCCGAGGCTTTCGCAGGAGCAGCAGAGGAACGAGATCCAGTGGTCGAGCACCCCGATCCTGAGATCTCCGCAGCCATCAATGAGGTGCCGCCGATAGATATCCCCAAAGAGAAGCTCAAACGACCAGGTTGGGTTTCGCACCCAAATGCTAAGTACTTGATTGTCGGACACAAACCAAAGACGTTTCGTACTGCTACACCAAGGTTTCCAAGATGCGAAGTCAGATCTACTTGGTTGTTCAGGGAAGGTTCTTGGGTCAAGGTTGAGGATAAAGTGAACGTCAGGGAGCTTGACAACAAAGTTGCCCGACTGGAGGGTAACCCAATCCTGAGCCTCACTATCTTCGAAGACCCCGATGTTGAACCTGACAGTGACAACGAAGGAAACGCCCGCAGTCTTGCAGAGGCCGATCTGAAAGCTGAAGCCAAATCTGTTGAGCACTTGTTCTCGCACAGGCCCAAGAATCCGTTCTGCGAGGTATGTCAACGCGCAAAGATGTTGGCTCCCCAAGCCCGCAAAAAGGGGGGCTCAAGTACCATTGTGTCAAAGGCCTTTGGGGATCACATCACTGTTGACCATATCATCACTCGTGACCTTCGTGATCATGGGTTCCAGGATGAAAGGGTCGCACTTGTTGTTAAGGACGTGTTCACCAAATTTCGTTACGTCTACCCCTCTCCGACTAAGTCAAGCGATCAGTGTTTTGAAGACCTTCTTCACTTCCTAGGTCAAGAAGATGCAGTTGGCGTTTTCTACTCAGACAACGCACCTGAACTTCATGCCGCTATCAAAAGCCTAGGTGTCCGGCATGTTACATCCCGCGAATATGTGGACACCAACAAGTCGGTAATCGAAAGAGAAATTCGGACGATTTTGGAGGGTACCCGCTCCAACCTTGTTCAGGCGGGTCTCCCCGACAAGCTTTGGCCGTTGGCCGCCCAACACCATGCGATGGCACTTAATGCAACTAAGAGGCTTGACAACGGGATTGTTCCCTGGGAGGCCAGGTATGGGGAACCGTTTTCAGGGATAATGATTCCTTTTGGTGCACGTGTGTTGTACTGGAACAACCCCAAACAGAACATTCCTGCGAGCTCTAAGTTTGCGCCGACTGGTGTTGAGGGAATATTTCTTGGTTACCACATTCAGCCTGGCTTCGTTTGGAAGGAGGAATACCTCGTCACCCCCGTCAAGGGTTGTGACTTTGCGTTCGAAATAGGAAACTTTCCCATCCTGAGGTCGAAGCGAATGGAGCTGTTGCCCGGGGATTTCACATTCCCAATGAGATCCGAACAGCTCGCACTGCAGGAGAGCCTCCGTAAGCCGACCCTCGCAGATCAGGACTGCTCGTGGGGAGACACAGAAGGTGCCGGAACACGCGCCCCGCCCGGGGATTCGCCGGACGAGCCTTTGCCTCCGCCCGGTGTGCCTGATTTGGACGGCTCCGATTTGAAGGATCGTTTGTCCGAGTACTTGGACCAAGTGGCCAAGGAAAACGAGGACTATGTTCCCGAAGATGTCGGAGCTGTGGAGGACTGGCTGGGGAGGGATGCTCCTGGATCTTCTAAGGAAGCAACATCCACGCCTAAGGCCTCATCTACTCTACCAAGACATGACCCCAAAACCATGCCTGACGGGAAGAAAGTCCCCAAAGGGTATAACTGGGACGGGGTGAGGTTGGTTAGAGATAAGAAAGGTTCCAAAAGGCCACCTGATACCCCTTCGGAATTTTGGCACATGTATTCCAAGGCACAACGGGAGGCTGACATTGAAAGATTCGAACGCAAAAAGGCTCGTGAAGCCGAGGAAGATGCTCGCAAGGCCCTTAGAGACTCCCCGGCCATGCCTGTCATCGCCGAGCCTGACCCCGAGCCCCATAGGGACCGCATGGCGTCCTTGTATTGGGCCAAACTTGGTCAGGTTGCGAGTGAGATGTTTGCTGTTGTTGCCAGGGTTGTCGGGCCTAAAGAGATCGAAAGTACTCCCGCTGCTAAAGAAGCCATGGACCGAGAGTGGAAGAAACTTGCCGATAAGTCTTGCTGGCTCGAAAAGAAGGTTCGAGAGTACCGGGATGTTGCCGCGGAAGCCAAACACAAGAATGTCAAGGCCCATTTCGGGAAAATCTTTGAGATTTGTTCGGTCAAGGGGGATGAACTCCCGGACGGGCACCCCCAGAAGAAATGGAAGGGTCGTAGTGTTTTCCAGGGCAATAATGTCCAGGACGAAAACCACGATCACGCCATTTTCGCCGAACTAGGATCAAGCCCCGCTAGCATGGAGGCCGGGAAAATCATCGATGTGTTTGGTAGCCAACCCGGGTACGTGAAACAGCAGGCTGATGGCATCGCTGCATACACACAAGCCCTTTTTAAAGGCATTGAAACGTGGGTTCGTCTCCCTCGAAACAGATGGCCTAAAGAATGGTCTGGGTATGAAGATCCTGTTTGCCCACTCAGGCTCGCTTTGTACGGCCACCCTGACTCAGGTGGTATCTGGGAAAGGTACTGTACAGAACAGTTAGAGAGTGTTGGTTTTACTGCAGTTCTACCCGACATTTGGCATTCTGTTTTCTACCATGCTGAACTAGATTTGTTGCTTGTTGTGTACGTTGATGACTTCAAGATGGCCGGCCCCCAAGACAAAATCAACAAAGGTTGGGAGTTGATCGCTAAGGTGATTGACATGGAACCAGCCGAGGTCTTGGGACGGTACTTCGGGTGTCATCACGTTGAGCAAAATCAGGTCCAGCTTTCACGGGAGGACCACCCATTTGCTTACGTCTTCGACAAGAAGCACGCTAGCCCAGCTGCCGACTACCAAGTCCGGCCGAACCGCAAAGAGGACTTCTGGGAGGTCGACGCTGAGTTAGCTGCAGTCGTTAGGCATCACATCTATCCTCGTAGGAAACTTTATGTGCCTACGCAGGACGACGTGTCGAAATTTCCCCACATAAGCTGTCAACGAATCACGGTGTTTGATGATGGTAGGGACCCTATCCATGATGACTTGAATCAGGGGGGCCCCGCGGACCAATCAGGTTGGTGGACCGGGAGAACATATTTCCCTATCACTGAGGTCAGCGACGAGGACTTTTCTCATGCTCTCGCAGCTAAGCACAATAAACCCAAGCGGTCCAAAGCCGAAGCTAAACGAGAAGCACGACAGAGTAAGTTCAAGAGCACTGAATCTATCAGTCAGGGAAAGACCCCTTCCATGACTGTGCCCGTGAACGTTGTGTACTACGACATGCGGGACTTCTTGGTGTCATGTGTTGATAGGTACTGTGAGTTGGCCAAGGTCGACAAGAAATCTCTGAAGCACGTAGCGACTCCTTTTCACGAGAACCGGGTAGCAAAAGTTCTGGAGAACAATGAACCTAGTGGTAAGCTGCAACCTATTGCTAGCCGTGTACTCATGAAGGTTTTGTTCGCTGCGAGAATGGCCAGGTGGGACTTGTTACGCGCCACTCAGGCACTGGCATCCAGAGTCACCAAGTGGTCTCGCGACTGTGACGTTGCTTTGCACAGGTTGATCAGTTACATAAACTCTTCTCTTGAAGTTCGGATGAGGGGATTCATAGGGGATCGCATTCAGGATTGTAAGTTGTGGATGTTCTGCGATGCTGACCACGCTGGTAGCCACGACAGTAAATCCACTTCAGGCTGTGCCCTTTACTTGGTAGGCCCCAATACTTACTTTCCCCTAAATGCTTTTTCCAAGAAACAGACCAGCATCACCACTTCAAGTACTGAGAGTGAGGTTGTGGCTGCCAACCAAGGTATTCGTGCCCAGGGTCTGCCCAGCCTCAGTCTTTGGATTTTCCTGTGGCGTGAGGTTGCGAGTAGGACCGCCAGCTACCAAGCTAGGCCGAAAACCAAACCTAATCAAAGGGAAAACGACATCATTGCACGAATTGATCCTGAACTTGATGAGATCCGTTATGGTGAGTGTAGGGCGGATGGACGAAGCGTTTCCGATTTAAACGGCCTTAAGGTCCACCTTAGTCCCAAGTTTGCTGTTCAACTCCTTGAGGACAACCAAGCTACCATCACCATTCTCCTCAAAGGTGACAGCGAAAAACTACGTCACACCGATCGGACTCAACGCATTTCGTTTGCTTGGATCAAACAACAGTTCGAGCGTAACTTCTTCGAAATGATTAATGTTGACACCAAAGAGCAAGTAGCTGATATCTTTACCAAACCTTTCGCTGACCGAGGTAAATGGGAACATGCTCTAAGGCTCATCGCGCACGTCGATGCACCTCTTCAGGGGGGACGGCAATCTAAGGCACACGAGTCCGATGCTCATCTCATCAACAAGCCTGTCGTTCATGCTCACCCTGTGGTGAAGCCGTCGGGCGATCCTTGCGCAGTCGCAGCTGAGCTTACCAAGGACCGTGACTTCAGTACTAAGGCTTTGTTGCGTGTAGCCCAGATCATGTACCCCAACAAAACCAAGCGAAAGATGATTAAGCTTGACAATCGCAGCTACTACCATATCTTTGGGCAGTGGTCTTACGGAGGAATGCAAGGGGTGACTAAGGCAACACGTCGGTGGCCTCAGATTGCCCGCTTCCTAAATGGAGTTGTACAAGCCCATGCTCCTAAGGACTTCACATGGAACTCGGTGCTGCTTAATAGCTGTACTAGTGCCTCTGTGCACAAAGACCATGGGAATGCTAAGGATAGCATGAGCTTTGCCCTCAGTGTCGGGGATTTCAAGGATGGTGAACTGTGGTTTGCTGACCCCCTTGTTTCATCTGAAGATGCTATTGTTAGGGTCGGTCCAAATGGTAAGCGCCTTAAGGGTCGTGCTGTGTCCACCCTGAACAAAGCCATCATTTTTGATCCGCGAAATTTACACTGTGTGTTACCTTTCACTGGAACACGTTTCTCCATTGTTGCGTACACCTCCCGATCACAAGACGCACTGCAAGATCAAGAGCTCAATTCTTTGAAGACGCTTGGATTCAGGCTGCCCCCACGTGCGGCCAGCGCTGCTTCTGCCCGAGAATACTCGAGGCCGTTGGGGTTCAAACGAATCATAGTCGAGTTTTGTTGCTCCCCCAACAGCAAACTAGGGCAGGATCGTAGCGCAAGTCAAGGATGTTATGTGTTGCGAGTCACCAGTGAAGATGACGTCTTGAAAGACTCTACATTGACTTCAGTTGTTCAGAAAATTAGTACCCTCTGCGACGAGGGGGGAGCATCTAAGCCAATTTTAGTTTATGCGTCGCTTCCGTGTACTGGTGGTTGTCCGTGGAATCGCATGACGCCTGACAGCCCAAAGTGGGAACAGCATCAGGAACTGTTTTGCAAACTCCTCAAGCAGTTCCGAAAATTCATTAGGAAGCTCAAAGAGTACAAACCACAGGTTGCCTTCGAACTCCCTAAGGATTGCGACTATTGGAAGTGGGACCATGTTCAGCATATGGTTAATGATTTTGGACTTGAGTTCTACCGTTGCGATGGTTGCATGTTGGGGATTACGAATCACCAAGGATTACCACTAAGGAAAGCTTGGACCATTGCGTCGTCGATTCCATTGCAGCGGCTGGCAGCGCACAAGTGTGATCGCAGTCATGTTCATGGCGAGTCTAGAGGCCAGGACCTTAAGGACAGTGAGAACTATTCACATGCCATGACTGATTGCATCCACATTGATTGGAAAAGCTTTTGCGATAGGCGTTCTAACTATGCAGCTTGTGCACAACAACAATTTTCGTGTGACCACAAACACGTTTGCACTCGCAAAACTGAACAAACTAACGCATTAGCTGCCTGCTGCATTCTCGCGGCAGAGTTCTGCGCGCCGGACATGGAAGCCACCAACGCTGGAATCGTTGCTCCGACGGAGGTCCTGCGCCAGTGGTGGGATCGCCGGTTATGGGAGACTTCATTGTCTTCCGAATACCGCACCATGGCGCCTTTCCAGGAGGATGAAGCCAGCGTGAACAACTTCTACAAGTATTTGCCGCGGCCACTGGCATGCGAATATGCCCTCAGTGACGTCAGGGAGGCTGGTTTGGTGGCCAAAATCGGAAAGCTCACCGATCAAGGCTTGGCCATGCTCCAGCCCGAGTCTACTCGAGGCCGTTTGCGCTACCTTGTCATCGTCGCAGACTCTACAACTACGTTCCTCACTGAAGGAAATTGGAAGACAGATCTGCTGGCAGACATCAAGGCCAACCGCGGCAATGCCTTCCCACATCATCTTGGCGTTGAGTACATTCCTACATGGGGTGCGAATCTCACGCGGCTCGTAGAGCTCGCCGTGGGAAAAGTCACCCAACTGGAGCGTGAATCTGGCGCCAGTGGTCAGGTGAGCATTGACCTCATGATGATCTGGAACGGGAACGAGTTCGTCGGCGAAAGAGGTCTGTTTTTGGACCCAGGCTTCAAGAGCAAGACGGAGTGGCTTCGTGGTTACCCGCACATGGCAAAGGGGAGCTGGGAGTTCATTGGACCAAAGGTTCTCCGGGAGATAGGCAAGTTGGCGGATCTACAGTCACGGGCGTCAGTGGGTACTGTGCTGCTCACGTCTGCGACCGACGCTGCCAACTACTGCCTCCCGCGCGACTGGGGTACCATCATGGCGGATTTGCTCGACTATGCCGCCCAACTTGGGCTGGCCGTCAAGCATTTCAATACGCCTGCAAGCCAGATCCGCAAATTCGATCATTTTCACTTCCAGGAGGACAGCGCCTATCGTTTGCAGCTGTTGAGGTGGTTGGGTTTTACCGCCAGGATTATGGTCCTTCGTCACCAATGCTCCTTCTTCAAGGAAGCTGACATCGACCTGATCCTGCAAAACTACGGCCACGTCTCAAAGCCTAACGTCAAGTTTGCTGTGGACGTGCAGGTGGAGGAGAAGCTCCTGAATCACTTCCGTAAAGGAAGAGTGGCGCCCACACATCAGCCGCTTGTCCAGGCTGACCCGTGGGACGACATCTACTTCCAAGGACCCCAGGAGCAGTTCCCCGACACCGCGCCGAACCACTTTGTCCACCGGGACTTCAAGGACCACGTTCACCTGGGAGATGGGGAATATGTTACCCGCGAGGACTACGACGAGATGATCAAGAAGAGCGAGGAAAATGCCCCCCGTCCAGGGGAGGCCGTCGTTGTTCCGTCATCGTCGTCAACGGCGCGGGAGACTAAGGAGAAGCTTTTGGCCAGGGGGGAGGTCTACAGTCGTCAGCGGACCGACCCTGAGTCCAGTGCCCCCAAACGGGCAAAGAAGGGCCCACACGAGGCTGACTACGACGAGCCCATCAAGTCCGGCTACTACACAACCGATGACGATTGGTGCCTCGTCGACATGCTGGGCCTCGACTGGGACACAATCCATTTATGCCCACCGGAAGGTGAGGCCGAGTGGGTTGACATCCTTCAGGACGAGATGCCGAACTTCAAGTATATCAACATTCCCCAGCATCACAAGACTGCCTTGTCCGGCATTGTTCGTGGCAAGATCGTCCCGGGCCTGCAGGGCGAAGGATTGTGGTGCTCTACGAGGAGGATTCTCGAGGCCTGGAACAAGAAGACGAACAAGGATTATGGCCTCGGGATGCTCCTCACTGTCGTCAAGAACGACAATCGCAGCAGGTTCCAGCTGCGAATCGACCGCAACCACCCCCTCGCCGAGTACTACGGCCTAGGAGGGTACCCTACCCTTATTAGGGCGAACCAAGGCATCTCCAAGGATGCTATGAAAGGGGTGCCCGACTCGATCCTTGCGGAGGCCTGGTTCAGCATGATCCCAGAAGCAGAGATGGATGTGCATTCTGCCACCTGGGAAGGTCGGCCGGTTTTGCCCCTGGAGAAGATTCCACGCAGGCTCTACCACCGCACCTACAAGGATCGAGCCTTTGCCATCTTGGACTCCTGCTTTATCCCCGGGCACCACACCGCGAATGCCTTTGTGTATTTTGCCGACCGGGAGGTAGGGCCGGGAGAAAACGTCCCTGGCGTGAGGAGCGATCGCCCCGTCGAGATCGTCATCAACACCATGGAGGCCCTCGGTCAGGGCGCCGGACTGTTTTACTCCCGATCAGACGGCGTCCTCTGCC